GGAGAGGAGAGGAGAAGGGAAGGGAGGAGAGGAGAAGGGAAGGGAAGGGAGGAGAGGAGAAGGGAAGGGAGGAGAGGAGAAGGGAAGGGAAGGGAAGAGAAGGGAAGAGAGGAGAGGAGAGGAGGGGAGGAGAGGAGAAGAGAAGGGAAGCAGAGGTGTGGACTCGAGTCACATGACTTCGACTCGAGTCATTAATTTTATGACTTTAGACTTGACTTGAAAAAATGTTCTAAGACTTGTGACTTGACTTGGACTTTTACTCCAATGACCTGGGACTTGAATTGGACTTGAACCGGTTTACTTGAAGAGACTTGATATTTCACCCCAAATATAAAATTTAACACGCATATTATATAGAAAGTGTGCACCATTAATTCAATTCATTTATTCAAACCACACTCCGTACGTATGTGTGCGTGAGCTGTAGCACAGCCAATCAAATTAACCAGATTTTAAAAAAAAATTTAAAAACTGCTGCAAGGAGTTATTATTTTTAGGTACATAAGCTATGAAGTAGTCAAAAAAAACCCTAATGAAATATGCAAAACATGAAAGAAGAGAATCGCAGACAGAGATGGAACAACTTCCAACTTTGTCTGACAGTTGAACTGTGTTGAGAAAAACACAGATTTAAAAATCACATGGTCTAACATTTACACTGACCAGAAGATGGACAGCTCAGATGTCTCATACAGCATTTCTTCTACAGCGTCCACCATCTTCGTGTGAAACTGCGTCAAGTTCATCACTTTCGCCAAGTCGGGATAGTCCTTTAGCGGAAGGGGGGCCTTATTCACACTTGTGTAGGCCTAAAAAAGATGAAGATGCGACGCTGATTTCTGCTGCAAACATGCATTTTACCTGAACTCTACATCACAGTCTATGCATTAAACTTGCTTACCTGTAATCTTAGCCAGTCCAATCTAAGAGCCCTGAAGTCAAACTCCTCTTTGTTGTCCACTGCAGGGGGAAAGCCAGTCATGGTTACTGATAAGTGTCTTTATTTATCTGTTCACAGGTAAATGCTCAGTACTGCTTGTGATTACCTTGTTTGACTGAGAGACCAGAGAGAGTTGAAACAAACGAGCTCATTAGGACTGACTCCTCCTCTGGACACACGTACATGTTCTACGATGGGAAAAAGAAAATACTCTTATAAAAACTCTAATAAAAAAACACTGTGTGTTTTAAACTACTGCTGTATATTCACACACAGGTACCTGTATGGTGTCGTTGAGAACTAAGGCATCAAACTGTGCCAGGTACTGAACATGGTAACGCTGAACTACGTTGTTGTACTTTCTCATTAGACCTCTTAATTTCTCCATGTAGTACAGCAACTCAGCCAGCTGACTGGAAAATTAAAAAAAAATATCGTGAAAAGAATGAACGGACACGGAAAACTGTGATTTGAAAGTTGAAGCCATGATAACATCAGATATACAAATCAAAAAAGGTTTTTTTGTGACTGGCATGCCTCATTTATTTCACTGCTGCTGATCTCTGCCCAGCGTCAGCATCATTAGCAGCTACAGCAGCCCATAGCCACGCTTTATTTTCTCTGCACTTACTTGTCAATGTAGTCCTCGGGAACCTTTAACTTTGGCATATTCTCAGAGTGTCTGACGAGCCAAAGGATCTCGTCACGGGAAAATGAAAGAGCCATGAAGACAAACAGCGCCTTGGGGATTTGATTGGCACACAGAACACAGAAGAAAAATGAATGTCAGGAAAAAGTTTCAGATTTGGTTTGGTAGCAGTTAAATTACCATGAAATGTGAGACTGCTGGATGTGTGATGTCTACGGCCAATTATCACAATGTGAATGTGTCTTTGTGAAATAACGACGTCGCTGGTCTACCTTAGGTCCCAGAAGTCCAGGCTCATCCTCCAGAACTTTACATAATTCCTTCAATGCCCCTCTGAGGAAATGCCGCCTCTCTCTGTGCATGGCCCCGCTATCCAGAGAAAAATACACAAGGTTACTGGTGTTATAGCTCATGTCACAGATAAAACACATGAAATAAAAACATGTAATCTCCTGCCAGGCTTACCCATTGACTAAAACATGCTCACGGCATTCCTTGATGTCTGCGATTCGTTTGCTGTATCTGATGAAAAAGAAAAAAATGTTAATATTGCTGCGGTAATGACAAAGTGTCTTCATTTTCTTTATTAGCTTCATGTTAACCTCAGTCTCAATTTTTATTAGAAATTAATATATGAAAAGATACTGCACTATAAATCAAGAGGATACTCTAAACATTATACTGTAAATCACACCACAATCACAGAAAGATCTGTTTCTTATCAATAGACGGTTTATCCCTCTATTCCTAATTTCAATTACAGTGCGAGTCTGTTAAGGAGCCGATCTGCTCTGGTTGTCAGCTTTGACAGCTTGAAATCTCAGAACATGTAAAATACATTTCAAAATCTATTCATCTTCGCTACCTGGCTGATATGTGAGAGTGCATTATTTCATACTCATGATCCGATTTCTTAATTAGGGGCTTTTTCTCACAGTCCACAATGCAGAGTACACTATAGCAGCGTCGGCTGCGTACCCTTTAATGTTGTCGAAGAGGTCCTCTGACACTTTGTGTATGTTGAGGACTTCATCTCTGGTGAGGGTCAGGTAGATGCCGCTTCGCAGGCCCATCTTCCACAGCTCCTGGGAGGCTTGGTTTGAATTCAGGCTGCTGTGGCACAGCAGGAAGCCAACTACAGGAAGGACAGTTAGCAACTGTCATCAAACAGTCTACACAACTGAAGGAATACTGCTAGTTACTATGTTACATATTTCTTTCTTTTCTTTCTTTTCACAACTCGAATTCCCAAAAGTATCTGATATTTAAGCTGAGAAAATGTATCGTTTTAAGCAGGGATGGGTACCGGACATAAACGGTAGTAACCAGACCGAAAAGCAGCGCACATTTCGGTGCTTTATTT